TGGTCTCTTCCAACTCTATGATTCTATGATTCTATGATTCTATGCTCTATGCCCAGTAAGAATAGGGGTTGTGTAGTAGTAGTAGTAACCAGGCAGTGGTGTGAGCCCAGCCAGCATAGTCAACAGGAATTTTATCATCACCACCATCATCATCACCCTATAGTGCTTTATGGGATGGTGACTACTTTACCAGTCCTGGGGCCCAATCAAATCTAGCCTGATCCAGTTGTGTTGTAAGTACCCTGATATTCTCATGATATATTTCAACCCAGCTTTATTTTTATATCACATTGCTGGAGGCCAGCATGGGCTGTAGAGGTTGCAATGGCCCATGAGACATGAAATGGTAATATTTTGAATATAACATGTAGACCCCAGACTGTATAAAACAATGAATAAAAGTGACTTGCTAAAAGAAGGAAAACCCCACCTCCAATAATCTGCTTTTTTAAAAACTAAAACAGAAAGTGAAAGATGAGCCCTGGTGGCGCAGTGGTTAAATGCCTGTACTGCAGCCACTCACTCATAGGCCACAAGGTTGAGAGTTCAATACTAGCCAGGGCTCAGGCTGGACTCAGGCCTGCATCCTTCCGAGGTTACTAAAATGAGTACCCAACTGTTGGGGGCAATGAGCTTACAGTGGTAAACCACTTAGGCATCCCATAGCACGATATGAAGCGGTATATAAATGAAGCTGCTTTGCTCTTGCCAACAGATCAAACAAGACTGGTTTGCCTTTCATCCCCTGCTATGTTCCTAAATACCCTTCCTGTCTACTCATTTTGGAGTGCTCAAAATTTTGTCAGTGCATTGTAAAGTCAGTGAAGAAGACATCAAAAAAAGAAAGAAAGAAAAGAAAAGAAACTCTTCTCATCTCCTGGATATCAAAACAAATCCACCACTTTGGAAACCCTTCCAGGTTCCTCTGAAGGGCTATTAAGCTATTGTTTCCCACAGAATCATCTCAACTTGAGGCTAGTTTTAAGGTATGTATAGGATTGGAAAACTTAGCCTCTTTGCCATAGTGACCCCAACCCCCTGCTTTGTTCAGTGGCTGTTGCCCTCAGCCTTTGTTCTGAGTCACTCTTTGTGCTTGGCATTCCATCTATTCCTGTTAGCATCCCAAGACTGGTAGCCTGAAACCTCATGGTTTGAGTTGTTCCTACTTTTCATGGACCCTTCTTCAGGAAAAGTAGCTATAACCCCTTAATACAATCTGCTATCCCCTTTCAGCTTTCCATTTTGGCTAGCTCTGTATGCTGGATGTTAGAGTGATGCATGCATAGAGTGAGTTATTCTCATATGTGTGTTCTTTCATATTTCTTCCTTTAGTCTCTTTCAACTATTACTAGTATAAATTGGTGCATTCAGTCCCAAGGTTACCCCCTCTCACAAGCCAACATTTCCCAACTTTGCTACATGTGGTGGAGGCTCTCCAAACCTCACATCCTTTTGGGTAACAGTTTTCTGTTATGCTCAGAGCTAGGAAATGTTATGGGTTTGCGGGGGTTTTTTGGACTACAATGTGAAGAATTGCTCAACCTAGCTAGCAGGAATTGCATTTTATTTATTTGATAGCTAGTCTTGTGTAATGGTTTGAGCACTGGACTATGACTCTGGAGACAGGGTTCAAATCCCTGTTCAGCCATGGAAACCCACTGGGTAACCTTGAGCATACCACACTCTCTCAGCCTCCAAGGAAGTAATAGCAAATCCCATCTGAACAAATATGGCAAAGAGGGTGATGGTGCATGTGCTTACAGAGAGGTCTCTGAGTGTCCCCTCTGGCATGTGTGCCATAGGTTCACCAGCACTGCCTTAGAGTCACCATAGGCTGGAAATTATTTGAAGACACACAACAACAAACCTACCTAAATTCTCACCATAAATCCTATATATCTCATTTCAGCAGTAAATCTAGTCAATTTAGTTGAACTTATCTAAGGTGGTCTTAAGACATTTTATTGCTTAAGACAAAGAATGAGATGATCTTGCATACCCCATTCCACATACAGAAGGTGACTGAACTGCCAGCTGAAAGAAAGGAGTAATATTTGCAGAAGATATATTTCACAGTTCATTACATCAAGCAACTTTGGTCAACTTGTTTCACCACAGAAAACATCTTTTCATAATTTGCCTAAGAATAGAATTCATTAATTCATTTTAGGGTGGTATACCCATGGAGCCTTAGCCTGATCTTTCATTATATGCTAAGAGAAAAGTCTTTCTTGTTTGATTTTTTTATGCAATTGTGCGTCACATAGGGGAAGGGATTCAAGTTAATGCAATGAGCCATTCTCACTGGACAGGACACCCTTTTAAAATACTTGCCAAAGTAAGGGGCATTGGACATAATTCACCCATTCTGAAACAGCAGAAAAGGGTTGGTAATTGATCAGGAGTAACCAGAAATAACTTCTGTTTTATGAAAATAACAGTGGTACCTCCCACAGGCAATCAGGAAGAGCCAGAAATTTCCTTCTGATCATTTGTGTGTGTCCACCTCATTATCTTTCATCAAGCCATATTACTTTTCATAATTTTATTATTATTATTTAATGATTTTGAGAACCAGCATGGTGTAGTGATCTGAGCTTGGACTACAACTCTGGAGACCAGGGTTCAATTCCCTGTTTGGCCATGGAAATCCACTGGGTGACCTTGGGTGATTCATACACTTTCAGCCTCAAAATAGTCCCATGAGAGGTTCATTTTAGGGTCACCCTAAGTCAGAAATAACTTGAAGGCATATAACAACAACATTTTTAAATTGAACTAAATATGTGTGTGCTTAAATCCTCAGAGGATAGATTGAGAATTCAGACTTTAAATTGATTGGTTAACTGAGGGCTAAATAGCCATATTTCAAATTCAGACATGAATCTGTGTAGAGAAGTCATCAGTTCCCTACCATCAGCACAGAAACCTGATGGACATTACTAAATGTTTCTGACAGTACCATGACTTCAGCCCATTCCCTTTCCTGCCCCTGTTCATGCAACTGCCTTGAAAAAGGAAGGGGCAATACTTGGAACACCAAGCTGTAATTCTACAAAATTCCCCATTCTATTGCCTGCAATGTCTTGGACTCTTTCATGTGATACAATTATAGCACTATAATTTCACTTTACCTGCCATTGTTCCATCCTACAGAATTCTGGGATGTACAATTTTACGAGAATATTTAGTATTCTCAGGCAGAGAATTCTAATACCTGTCAGGCTTCAAGGTTCTATAGTGTGAAGCCATGAAAGTTAAAGTGGAATCATTGTGTTATAATTCTGCAGTGTGAATGATTAGAATATGGAGATTCTGATTCTCCATTCAACCAAGTTTTTTCTCCTTTTGGAGTTTTGTTACCATTTCATAATCTGGGGGAAAAACATATACACTATAGCACTTCTTAAGCTGTTCCTTTCCTTCCAATATAAGGCAAAAACTGTGATCTAATATGAGCTGTAGTTTTCAAGGTCTCCTCTCTTCTTCTCTGACTCCGTCCCCCCCCCCCCACACACAACTGAGCAGTCAAGTGATCTAGTGTTAATTCTAATTAGAGGAGAAGGAGATGCACAAAAGGACAATCAAAACTTGTAAAAGTGACTTTTGGGGGAATGACATCTCTTTGATCCCAGCTGAGATCCTGTATTGAGGAGATGAACCATAACTTTATTTTCACTGAGTTAAGCAATGCTCCCTCATTTGTGAATTGCAAGGGCAAATGCACACACACATTTGCATGGACAATTTATTTATTTGTTTGTTTAGGAGATTTATATCCTGCCTTTCTCCCAAAATGGGATTCAAGGTGGCTTGAATGAGCAATGCACATTAGTGAACAATGGGCATCCATGAGCAATGGCACCACAAGCACAAGTCCACTTCTGCAGCCCTGAAATGTCTCTTTTGCATCAGACCAAAATGTCCAACTATTCCTATAAAGAAAGTGTAATGAGAACTTGACCTTGGGGAATTTTTAATTAGCTAAAAATTAGTAAGCAGGATCAAAACCCAATGTGTGCAGGAGGAGGGAGGGGAGAGAACCTTCACAGAGACAGCATTCTCCCAAAGAATGGTATTTTTATTAAGAGAAAAAAATAAATCAACAGGCAAGCACACACATACACACAGAGAATAAATGAAATCTGTAAGAAATGTTTCACACATCAAATAGTTACCTAGAAACTCTGCACTCTTTGCAGAAAAATGAATTCAGATGCTTATGGAGTGAAGTTGTGTTGGGGGGAGCCAAGGGATACTGCATAGGAATTTCAGGGAGTGAGGGAGATCCCCTCTTCCCTTCCAAAACCAGTTCACAGAGCACAGATTTTGAGGTGTTAATATAGGCTGAAATAGCCTGGGGCAAAGATTCATGATTGTATATCAAAGGATTCCAGATAGGTTGTCTTTGAAGTAGACAATTTTCATAGAGGGAAGATGGGGTGGTGGGGGTGGTGATGTTATCTCATCCTAAGATGACACATCCTGGTTGTAAATCTCTGTGTGTCCAGAATTAAGAAGGTGTAAATGTCCTGCTTTTACAGCTCCTAAGCTTAGCCTTTTGATCTGCTAATTGTTGTAGAGGCAGATGTGACCTCTCAGGTGCCTACCTTGGATCCATAGCAGTTGGTCTTTTTCTGGTTTAGGGCCATGACAGGAGATCCACAAAGGATTTTTTTTATATATATATTAAAGTAATTCCTGTAACAAAGGTTATACAGGCATACATCATCAATAGGATGCTGGCCATGGTTGTGGAATCCCTGTTTATTCTTGTTTCTCTCCTTAGTACTCTGTATTTTTCCCCTGTATTAAACACAGGATACAATTGTTCCTGAGCATTTCCTCCCATTCAGCTTGCTGGTGGTGATGAAACAAGTGAGACAATGATCAAAGTGACTTTGTGAAAAATTCAGTGTAAGTCTAGTAAACTATGTGATAGACACTATCTGAAGGCAATGCAGGCAGCAGCAAATTATTATTCTCTGCCACTAATATATCTGGAAAGAACAAGCATTGTTTCTAGTGGTTCACCATATTGGACAACTACTGGCCAGCTTTGAACATTCCATTTCTGGGCAAATTCCTGGAGAGTGTAGCATCAACTGTTTTCCATGGGTTCATAGATGAGACAGATTTCTTATATTCATTTCAATCTGGTTTGTCCTGTCCATGGCACACACGCAGTACTGACCATCTTGGTGGATGGCTTAAACTGGGAGCTGAACATAATTAGTATGTGTCTAAGAGTTTTGCTTCATCTCACAGTTGCTTTCCATTATAGGAACTACAGTATCTTTCTGGGTTGCCTTGCTGAAATGGGACTTGGAGGCACTGTTTTATAGTGGCTCCATTCCTTCCTGGAAGGGCAAACCCAGAAAGTTTTTCTGGAGAACTTGTATTCAACCTCTGGGCCTTTGGCCTGTGAGGATCCCAAGGGCTCAGATCTGCCACCCCATGCTGTTCAACATATACATGAAACTAAGGGCCTTTGCAGACTGCTAGAAATAGTGCAAATTGAGACCACT